TTTCCCAATTCCCCCTTTCCCCCATTTCCCAATTTCCCAATTTCCCAATTTCCCAATTTCCTAATTTCCTAATTTCCCAATTTCCCAATTTCCCAATTTCCCAATTTCCCAATTTCCCAATTTCCCAATTTCCCAATTTCCCAATTTCCCAATTTCCTAATTTCCTATTTTCCCAAATTCTCAATTGCCCAATTTCCTAATTTTCTAATTTCCTATTTTCCTAATTTTCGAATTTCCTATTTTCCCAAATTCTCAATTCCCCAATTTCCCAATTTCCCACTTTCCCAATTTCTCAATTTTCCAACTTCCCAATTTCCCACTTCTCTAATTTCCTAATTTTAAAGTTGCCCAATTTCCCAATTTCCCAATTGTCCAATTATTAATGTGTCCTTTATACAGTTATCTTTGTCAAACTTCAAGCTTTAAAATGATGTGTCATAAGTGTATTATTGTCGCACTTTTATGTCATGAAATTATATTACGCTTCATATATTTTTAAATTGATCACTATTTGTTATACTTGATCACCAGCTATTTTATACTATGAACATTAATAAATACTCTATACAGTTATTTTCGTCACACTTCAAGCTTTAAAATGATGTGTCATAAGTGTATTATTGTCACACTTTTATGTCATGAAATTATATTACGCTTCATATATTCCGAAATTGATCATTGTTTGATATACTTGATCATCAGCTTTTTTGCACTATGAACATTAATGAATACTCTATACAATTACTTTCGTCACACTTCAATCTTGAAAATGATGCACCATAAGTGTATCTTTCTATCGTTATACAAATCGGTAAAAAAAGTAATACATAAAACATTATCATTTTTAACCTCACGTCCGCGTGCAAAAGAATATTTAAAATGTCAAAGTGAAATGTACGAGTACAAAGTGTTAATACAATAAACAAACCGCGTTTATAGCATTATCGTACTCTGTGATCCCGATAATCGGTAATTAAATATTGGAAACAACGTTTGCCAACCATTTGACGCAATGTGTACAAGCAACACAATGCACCGAAAGGGAATCTTAAATTAACAGCGACACTATCGTTCGAAATATTCAATAGCTCGCTAATCAATAAACTCGATTAATCGCGCGAACTCAATTTAACCCCCCTAATTTCCAAGTAATATTACATATTATAATCCCCTAACACGATTATTAACCATAACAACGCAGTATTGTGCAATGGAAGCGTCCGGTGCTTCCTGTGGAAATTGCAGTACACGAATCGATAACTAAATCGAACGAAAGTAAAAAGTAAATTGGGAACAAATGAATATTGTGCGCGGAAAAATTGACGATATTAGAAAAAATTGTTTAAAAATAAAATAAAAATCGTGTTCCAAAAAAGTGTGACATTTAAATTAAATTAATATTGTATTTCTGTGTAAAAATTTTTGAAATAGTTGAAGTTGATATCTTTTATTGTTGTGAAGGGAATTGATGAATAAGTGTGCAAATCTGAAAAGTTGAATGTGGAAATTAATTGGGGATGTGATTCAGGAGTTTGTATGTTTTTATTAATGTTCACAACATAAAATGGCTGCTTTTCAATTATATCAATGATATGAAATATATGAAGCATAATATACTTTATAAAAAATAATTAAAAATTGTATTTTTGTCGACACACAAACTGCAAATACATTCACTGTCTATTCAAATGAGGATCCTCCATTTTGTGCTGCAAAATGACATCCATTTTCGTTGAATATAAAGCTTGAAATTTATCATAAGTGATCGTGACTGATCGTATCATATGTGATCATGAGTGACTATATCATAAGTGTATTATACATAGTAACATAAGTGTATTAAAGTAATAATAATAAGTGTAAGTACAAAAGTAACAGTAAATACATGCTGCATAAAGTGATGGAAGGAGACTTCATACATACCGAAATCGACATCAATATATCTGAATACTCCCCGTAACTGAGTCTCGGAATAAAATTAATTTGCAGTCGGAGAAACTCGAAAACAATCCCGCAGTTTACATCGTGTAATAAATTGCGTCGTTTTAAATGTATAATTAACGAATGTTTTTCCATCTTCATGAATAAACCTTCGATTATTCCGACTAGAATATTTATTAAAATCCGCGCAATTTAAATCTGCTGTTCCCGTATTCGCAGAGAAACAGGTTCACACGAGTAATTAACGATCGAATGTAATATCTTCCAATATTCCGGGAGCTTCGTAGTCCATTTTTCCTCCCAATTATTTCAAGCGTGTTCTTCAATAACGCCGCTTATATTGCGTATCGATTGAAAAAACGTAAAAAAATAATATGCGTATACGTATAAAATTTCAACGGTGTTTATTTAGATATCCGAATGTATGACGGATTTAAATTAGAATTACGTTCGCTTTTAAAAAGCAATCGCGCGTGACCGGCTGCAACGTGCAACTGCATCGTTGCATTAATCGGTAATGAATGACTGCGAAAATCCAACGTTAATCCTATCATTTCGCGCAACTGGAATTCACGCTGTCCTGCTTCATTGACGCACGTATTATCGAAAATGACTAATGTCGCGGAAAATTGTTACGTTTAATAAATATCATCGTGGGAGCGTAAGTTTATCGAACGTGACGATCAATCGTGATTCTCGTGGCGAGCGGGGATATTTCGGTGCAATTGCAGTCTCTCCAAAACCGATGTAAAAGTATTCGGTTTAACTGAATCGGTCGATCGAAGGAAATTTTTGCTTGGTCGTTCTTTTACGATTTAATTGCGCGTCACATTTGTAGTATATTTAGGTACAGTGTAAATGTACGTGAATTTTATTGTTTTGATTCATATATTTTTTCATTTTTAAGTTTAGGTCTTTTTTAGTTTTTGGAGTTGTGGAATTTTAAATTGGGAAATTTTCTAATTTATAAATTTTTAATTCTACAATTTTCCAGTTTTCTTAATTTCCAATTTTCCAATTTTCTAAATTTCCAATTTTCCAATTTTCCAATTTTCCAATTTTCCAATTTTCCAATTTTCCAATCTTCCAATTTTCCCATTTTCCAATTTTTCAAATTACCAATTTCCCAATTTCCCAAATTTCCAAATTTCCAAATTTCCGAATTTCCGAATTTCCTAATTTCCTAATTTCCTAATTCCCCAAATTCCCCAAATTCCCAATTTCCCAATTTCCCAATTTCCCAATTTCCCAATTTCCCAAATTTCCTAATTTCCTAATTCCCTAATTTCCGAATTTCCAAATTTCCAAATTTCCGAATTTCCGAATTTCCTAATTTCCTAATTTTCCAAATTTCCAAATTTCCGAATTTCCGAATTTCCTAATTTCCTAATTT